AGTTTCAATCTACTAACAAAGCTCTCGGGATAACCAGCTGCTCTTCCTACATTCGTCCATACGTGATTCAGTTGCTTGTATCGAGCGTGGTAATCTTTCTCAGTAACGCGACAATAGATAGTGGTGTCGCTAAGGTGTAGCTCTGTGACTTTCCGATCTAGGTCCCGTGGAAGAATCACAAACTCGCCACCTTTGTCGCTAACAGTGATGCGTACTGCCTCATTCGAAACTAAATCACGTACTTCCTTAATATCAAGCCATTGCGTGCGAGTCAAGTTAGTTGCATGCGGGCGTTTAGCTTCATTGCTATACGCAGCAAGCACACCAGCAGATAGGACTCTAAACTTGACATCAGCTTCAGCATGGGGCTGAGGTTCTTTGTAAAATGAACTTGGAACAACTTGGAACCATCTATTCCTTTTCCAAGTTCATTTTACAAAGAACCTCAGCCCCATGCTGAAGCTGATGTCAAGTTTAGAGTCCTATCTGCTGGTGTGCTTGCTGCGTATAGCAATGAAGCTAAACGCCCGCATGCAACTAACTTGACTCGCACGCAATGGCTTGATATTAAGGAAGTACGTGATCTAGTTTCGAATGAGGCAGTACGCATCATCATTTTGTACGTTGGTGTATAAGGACACCACGTCAAAAGATTCTGCTACACATTGTGTGTTCAAATTAGTGTTCTGCAGGCCAGAAAGTGACTCGTATTGGTTAGATGGGATGGAACCTTGTCCAGTAGTTGGTTAACAATCTTATTCAAGAACCAAGATATTCGATCGGTGGGTCCTCCTACGCAACTTATGATTGGTCGAATTCTCAACTGCTCAGCGGTCAAAAGGCGCAAGTCATCAGTAGCGGTTAGTTTGTGTGTTTTAACAAGGCTATAGAAGACTAGGCACTGAGGTGTTTCTAGTTTCAATCTACTAACAAAGCTCTCGGGATAACCAGCTGCTCTTCCTACATTCGTCCATACGTGATTCAGTTGCTTGTATCGAGCGTGGTAATCTTTCTCAGTAACGCGACAATAGATAGTGGTGTCGCTAAGGTGTAGCTCTGTGACTTTCCGATCTAGGTCCCGTGGAAGAATCACAAACTCGCCACCTTTGTCGCTAACAGTGATGCGTACTGCCTCATTCGAAACTAAATCACGTACTTCCTTAATATCAAGCCATTGCGTGCGAGTCAAGTTAGTTGCATGCGGGCGTTTAGCTTCATTGCTATACGCAGCAAGCACACCAGCAGATAGGACTCTAAACTTGACATCAGCTTCAGCCCCATGCTGAAGCTGATGTCAAGTTTAGAGTCCTATCTGCTGGTGTGCTTGCTGCGTATAGCAATGAAGCTAAACGCCCGCATGCAACTAACTTGACTCGCACGCAATGGCTTGATATTAAGGAAGTACGTGATCTAGTTTCGAATGAGGCAGTACGCATCACTGTTAGCGACAAAGGTGGCGAGTTTGTGATTCTTCCACGGGACCTAGATCGGAAAGTCACAGAGCTACACCTTAGCGACACCACTATCTATTGTCGCGTTACTGAGAAAGATTACCACGCTCGATACAAGCAACTGAATCACGTATGGACGAATGTAGGAAGAGCAGCTGGTTATCCCGAGAGCTTTGTTAGTAGATTGAAACTAGAAACACCTTAGTGCCTAGTCTTCTATAGCCTTGTTAAAACACACAAACTAACCGCTACTGATGACTTGCGCCTTTTGACCGCTGAGCAGTTGAGAATTCGACCAATCATAAGTTGCGTAGGAGGACCCACCGATCGAATATCCTGGTTCTTGAATAAGATTGTTAACCAACTACTGGACAAGGTTCAGTACTCTGCGTTGATACCACTGCTT